GCTCAAAGCTTACATGAACCGGAAAGTCCACCATAGAATAAAGTCATGGGGACTCAGAGTTCACAGAGTCTCCGGGCATCTTTTCCCCAAGGAGCACCAGCCTGCAGAAAGTTTGGCACCACGTGCCCTCCTCCTCTCGCCTTTAATCTTACTTGCAGAAAGATCCATTTGAAATCCCATCCAAACCTCACGGTAGGATTTCCCTTTCTAATGTCTGCCTGTTTTCCAAGCAGGAAGTCTGGCTAATCACAACATTGTGATTGGGACAGCCCTCGGAGGGCTCTCGGGCATGCCTCTGATTGCACTCCATGCTCCTTCAGGCTCAAGGAGCAGGCCTGCCACCAGGAGGGTGCTCCAGCTCCATTTTGCCCCCGAACCTGGCACTGTGGGCCATACAGAGGAAAGAGCGGGTGCTCTGGCTCTGGGCATCCCAGGAAAATGCCACTGACTCTGCTGCTTGCCTACCCTCTCCACCCCTGCAGCCCCCTCCAGTCACTCAGCTCTCTCCACCTGTTATCAGTGAGCCTGTGTCTTACTGGACGAATATTACAGTCTGTATACCATAGTTCTATGCAGATCTCAGAAAGGAGTGTTCTGACAAGAAGCTTTTCCAGAACAAAGAAAGTCGAATGGATGACAGGTCCTGAAGGACGAAGCCATCCAGTGAACTGCAGAAATGTGTGTGTGTGTGCGCATGTGTGTGTGTGAGCTTGAGAGAGTATGTATGAGTGTGAGAGAGAATATGTGAGGGGAATGTATGAGTATTTGTGATACTTATGTGTGCATGGTCTGTGAGCATGTACTATGTATTAAGTCCAGGGAGAAGGGATTCCAGGGAATGTAACCAGTAACCTGGTCTCACCATTTTAAGGAAGAATGAGAGAGGGGGAAAATATGGCACTGAAGACATCATCTTTCGCCAATTACTAAAATTGCCATTAAGAATTTTCTTCTCAGGATGGTAAGTGTAGGGTCTCTTTTATACTGTAATACTGGGACCAGCAGGTGGCAGGGTGATTAAGGCACTAGACTCTCACATGGCCAACCACAGTTTGAGTCCCGGGCCTTGTGGCTTGTTTTCTCAATTTCTCTCTCTCTTTCTCTCTCTGGTAAGTCCATGTACCCTGTAGTAAATTTTAAAATAGTAATAATAACTAATAAAATTAATGAGCAGTTCTTTAAAAAATACTGTAATACTAAAAATAATTATGTACCAAATTCTATAAGCATTCTATGAGAATTCTAACATACATTCTATGAAATATATAGTGTTACCTTCATTTTATGTATTAGGAAACTGGGACTCAATGTCACACAGCTAATAAATAGGGGAGCAAGGAGTCAAATCAGGTAGTCCAACAACAGAGTTAATGCTCTAACCTCAATGCCATACTTCACGTTGTTCCTAAAGTTAATGTGTACTAATCACGGCCTGGATCCAAAGACTGACACTCATTTTCACAATAGTGCAGAATCTGGGCCAGAGGCATTCGGAAGTCAATATGACAAATATGACTTCTGCATTATTACAATGCAGAATCTTCAGGCCAACAAGTGGCATGGTGGTTAAGGCATTGGACTCTCACATGGCCAACCACAGTTTGAGTCCTGTGCTTGAAAAGCACGCTGAGCCTGTGCCTGAAACCCTAGGAGGAGAATGGAGGAGAAGAGACTGCGGCATGGCCATCCCCCTGGGAGATGATTTCTCACTTTCCTTCTCATTGTCTCTCTCTGTCTCTCTTCAGCAAACACACACGTCCTGCAGCAAAAACCTAAAAACAAACAAAAAAGAATCCTGGCTATATCCAGGTGATTCTGGTTCTCATCTGAGTCAGGACCTAGGAATTCTCATTTTCAACTAGCATTCCAGCAGATTCTGAAGCAGACGTGCAGAGACCCTGGTGTTCTATAGGCCCCAGGATTACAGTGTCCAGATAACTGAGCTGTCTCTATCCTCCTTCAGCACAGGCATCAGCCTGCCTTGCCGCTTCCAACGCACTCTCACTAGGGCTGGGGACGAGAAAAGATGAGGCCAAACTACAACAAAACTTGAAAAGGTGATTTTTCCAAGGTTCTTAATTTTGCTAAAATCAATAAAAAAAAAAAAATAGTTGATTTCATAGACTCTCTGAATAAACCAAAAATAAAAAAACAAAACAATTTATTTTAAGAGCCTCTAAGTTCTATGAGGGCAGGAAAGGTGTCTAGCACATCTTAAACATGTAAGTCAGTACATGTGAAATGAATGAATGAATGCAGAATGGAACCACCTGCTCATCATTGTTGGCGTCTCTACTAACAAAGAAAGCTGACGTCTTTGAATCAGGGCTTCTCAACGATGGCACTGTTGGCGCTTTGGACCTGATGGCTCTTTGTGTTGGGGGTTTTCTGTGCATTTAGGATGTTCAGCAGTATTTCTGGCCTCTGTCCACTAAATGCCAGTAACAACCCCTCCCAACCCAAAGTCAGGACAATCAAACGTATCTCTGGACATTGCCAAATGTCTCCTGGGTGGTAAAATCACCTTGATTGAGAATGACTGCTAGGAAGGAAGCAAAAACAGTGTTGAATATTTTAATTGTTTTTGAAAATTGCAGATTCCTTCCAGATTGTCATTTCCACTCATCCTACCTTTCCCTCAAAGACATATTTCTGTTTTTAATGGCCTAAAAGTTTCTGGAAATTTGGCATTCCTTTTTAGGATGCTTTTCTAGCATGCTTTTGAAAGGCAATCAAGAGATCATAACGATCTCAAATTTCAGAAGACCGAAAATAGAATGAATATTATAAGAGTTTTATAGAGGAAAAAGAATACATTACAAGGATACCTCAGAGATATTATAGGCTTGAATACAGATCGGCACAGTAAAATAAATCACATGAATTGTTTGTTTCCCAGAAAAAAAATTATACATGTACTATAATATAGTCCAGAGTGTGTCTTAAAAAATAAGGTGCACATTTTAAAAAATGTTTTGTTAAAAATGCTAGCAATTGAGGGCAGCAGGTGGCATAGTAGTTACGGTGCTGGACTCCCACACAGCCAACTGTAGTTCAAGTCTCAGACCCAGCAGCTTAAAAATCACACCAGGCACATGTGTGTGCATGCCCAAACTCCCAGGAGGAGAATATAGGAGAAGGAATTGCAGTGTGGCCACTCCCCTGGAGGAGTCAGTTCTCGCTTTCCTTCTCACTGTCTCTCTCTGTTTTTGTCTCTGGTGAGCACATGTGCCCTATGGCTAAAATAAAATTTGAAGAAAAAAAAATGCTACCCATCACAGAGCCTTAGTGAGTTATGATCTCTGTGCTGGTGGAGGGCCTTGCCTCCATGCTGATGGCTGCTGACTGAGCATGGAGGAGCGTAGGATGGCTGTGGCAATTTCTTAACATAAGACAACAGTGAATTTTGCCACGTCAATGGACTCTTCCTTTCATGAAAGATTTCTCTGTAGCATGTGAGGCTGTTTGATAGCATTTTACCCACAGAAGAACTTCTTTCCAAAATGAAGTTACTTCGCCCAAACTTTGCTGCCACTTTATCAACCAAGTTTATGTAATAGTCTAAATCCTTTGTTGTCATTTCGGCCGTGTTCACAGCCTGTTCACCAGGAGTAGACTTTCTCAAGAAGCCACTTTCTTTGCTGATCCATAAGAAGCAACTCCTAGATCAGGTAGTGGCACAGCATGACAAAAGCGGACCCCCGTGGGACGGTCCTGGGTTCATGTCTTAGGGACCTTCCTGTTCATACCAGGTACGCGTATGCACATGCACTTGCTAGAGAGAGAAAGAAACCGAATGAGGGAGGGAGAGAGAGAAAGCACCCCCATGGGGCATGGTTATGCCACAATTCCCTCTCCTCCATTTCTCCTTCCCTTTAGGATTCTATGCACATGCATCCAAAATGTCTTTTCTCCAACTGCCAGGTCCACTACTAGAACCGTGCAGCTGGCCGTGTGGGATCCAGCTCCCTTAAGCACTAGGCAACAGGCTGGCCCCTAATTCTAGTTTGTGACTATTTCCACTAGATCCACAGCTACTTCCTCCACTGATGTTTTGAACCCCTGAAAGTCACCGATGAGGGTGGAGGTCAGTTTCTTCCAAACTCCTATTATGATATTTAGATCTCCATCCTTGAGTCACAAATATTTAAATGGCATCTAGAATGGTAAACCTTTTCTAGAAGGTTTTCAATTTACTTTGCCCAAATCTATCAGAGAAATCACTATCTGAGGCAGTGATCGCCTTACAAAATATATTATTTTAATAACAGGACTAGAAAGTCAAAAAGGCCTCCTTGCTCTGTGGGCTGCAGAATGGAAGTTGTGTTTGTAGGCTTGAAAACATCATTAATCTCCTTGTACATCTCCATCAGAGCTCTTGGGTGACCAAGTGAATTGGCAACGAGCAGTCGCATTTTGAAAGGAATCTTTTATCTGAGCAGTAGGTCTCAACAAAACCCTTCAATTTGTAAAAAAGTTCCATGTCTGTGAAGTGCAGTAAAGCAAGGTAAGCCTATACATGTAAAAAGAGAGAAATCAGAATGATAGAGGACTTCTAGATACTAGAAGATATAAACAAATATCTTCAAAATTATTTTCCACCTAAAATTGTATTCCTGGCCCACCCTTTGAGGTGCAGTCAGTAGTGAACTGCACTGTGGAGCCAGAGGCCACAGGCTAACCCTCATGTGAATCCCTGGCCCGGTCAGCTGGATGTATGCTGGTCACGTACGTCTGTGGCGAGCACTGCATACGGAAGCCACCTCGAGCTATCCGCCATCTTGGAAACCATTAGGTTTCACTTCCTCACTGAGCAAATCCTTTCTCAAATCATGTGACCAACCGTTCTCTCCGGAAGTGGTTGGGTTTCTAGGCAACGGGAGAGATCCACCCACATCAATGATTGGTTAATGCTGTTCTATCTCATTTGCATTTCGGGCAGCCAATTGGTGCCCACCAGCTGTATATAACTCGCCATTTTTCCTGAATAAACGGAAGTAGACGGAAGAAGACGACTTGATCAGCACCTGGTAGTGTGTGTGCGTGTGTTTGTCCCATCTCTCACTCCCTCCCCCAAGGAACCTGTTCCACGGTCCCGCAGGCCGGGACATACGTCCATGCTCAGGAGCCTGGTGAGATGGAGGCCCAGGGGAGAGAGAGCATGGTGTGACCAGGCCCTGTGGAGGGCACTTCTCCTCTTCTCTATCTCTCTGTCTCTCTGTCTCCCTCTCTCTCTAGCACATGTTTTATCATGAATGAAAAATAAAATTGTATTCTCAGCCCAGTATTCAATCAGATATGAGGGTTTAGAGTTTTGTTTTTCAGTTTGTTTTGTTTTTCCCATGAGTAGGATAGATGGAAAGACAGAAAGAGACAGAGAGACCACACCCCAGCCTCAGATCATGGGAACATGCATACCTGGTATACTCAGGAAAGTCTCTGGCAGCAAACCAGTAACCTTCCCATGTGGGCAGCCTCACAGTGTCACCATTTTGCCACTGTGCCACTGTTTGGACCCAAAGCTGAGGTTCATATACATATTTTTTTTTTAGGTTTTTGCCATAGGGCACATACACTCACCAGAGAGAGGGAAAGTAAGAAATCACACCCCAGAGGGGATGACCATGCCACAATCCTTTTTCCTCCATTCTCCTCTCAGAATTCTCAGCATGTACACACATGTGCCCAGAGTGATTTTTCAGGTCATTGGATCCAGGATTTGAACCAGAGTTATCATGGGGGAGTCCAGTGTCTTGCCCACCATGCCACCTCCTGAACCCTATACACATTTATTTTTAGATAATCAAGTATTCGAAACTTTACTCCCTGTATTCCTTTTTAGGAAGCTCCTGGGAGAAAAAAAAA